GCCAGTTCCTCTCTCTATGGCCTGGGAAGGCCAACTGGTACATTTCCTGCCCTGCAGTGGGTTCGTGGTCTCCAACTCCATCATCTGTAGCAGGAACCCAGAAGGGCCTCCGCCAACCACATCCTCCTCCTCAGCCTGTGCAAACCTGTGAGCCCCCTCTGCATCAGCAGGTGTTCAGGAGGGAGGTGGCTGGCTGCCCAGCCCAGCTCTTGGTGGGCTCCCAGCCCTCCCTGTACCAGAGGCTTCAACCACAAGCACCCCTTCTCCACCTTGGCCCTTGACCTCTGAGGGACAAGACATTAAAGTGTGGGGGGCCTGGAGCTGGGAGACCCACTACAGCAATGGTGGTAGCAGCTGAGCAGGTGATGGTGACAGATCACCCAGCCCGATTCCCCTCGTGCACAGCAGACAGTTTGAAACACTGAGGGCGAAACCAAGGCACAGCCTGGGACTCAGTAGCTCCACTGCCACCATCAGAGGCAAGGGCTGGAGGAAACCACACAGATGCCCCCATCAGCACTATTCACTCCGTGAAAAACTCCAGCAACAAGCACGAGTGTTAGGAAACACCATGAATTACATGCACAGGCTTTATGCTGCTCAAGAGAAACTCGGCAGAGCGCGTACTGTCTCATGTACATCAGGTTCAAAAACAGGCAGAATTAATAGACAGATGAAAGTTTAAAGGTTGCTGTGGGCGGAAATGTGTCTAGAGCAGAAGTTGAGGTTTCCAGGGGGCTTCTGGGAAGCTGCCACTGTCCTCTCAATCTGAATACTGTTTACATTAGGCCGCCCACCTTATGACATTCATTGAGCTGCAGGCTTCTAACATATGCATTTTGTGAGTATCATATGTCAATAAGATTTTTTTAAATTAATTAATTAATTTGTGTGTGTGTGTGTGTGTGTGTGTGTGACCAGCTCAGCCCGCCCTGGCTGGCGTGTGATGCTGGGGGATTGAACCGCGGTCCCTGTGCTTTGCTAAGCTTGTTCTAAGTAGGTGCTTTGGACCACTGAGCCATCTCACCAGCCCCATGTCAATAAGATTTTAACAAAACAAAGAGCACAATAAATAGCAACACCCTCTCTCAAATCCCTGTATTAGGGATTTAACCCAGGGCCTTTGAACAGAGCTAAACCCCCAGCTCTTTTTCTATTTTTCATTTTGAAACAGTTCTCATTAAATCACTATGGTGCCCAGACTTTGAACCCTCAACTCTTTTAATTCATCTTCTTGTAGCCCAAATCCTGACAACACTCTCTGCTTCAAACCCTCGAAGAGGATGAGGCCTCACCCATCTCCCCACACTCGTCTCCACCCTGCTCAGAGTTTCTCAGTTCCTTCTGCCACCTCAGGAGGCTTAAGACCAAGCCGTTCTCCCTGCCTGGGCTTCCCTTTCGCCTTCTCAAGCTTTGGCCTCCTCATCCCCCACGACCTGTAGAGAGCCGAGGAACGAACGTGCCTGTCTGTTTCTGGGCCCTCCCGGGCTGTTGTGACTCTTCTCATCGTCTGACTTCTGTCTCCCTCATGGGTCCCGTAGCTCTTTGAAGGACAAGCTTGTGTCCTTCACTAGCTTGTCTCTGGCCTTTGCCTGGTAGACAGATGCTTCATAACTGCTTGCTGACTGAGTGAGTGAATTGACTCTGCCTTTGCTACTGAAACCTACCAATCAAATCCAATGAACAAGCCCTGTGCCCAGCCCCTGACACAATTTTTGTTATTGTGGGGATACAGACTGGGCCAAGAGCTGATACATAATCCCAGCACAGAAAGAGCTAATCTCTAGCAGTGGAGATTTTATGATTTATAAAACATTCATGTAAGTAGGAGACAACTGCTATTTTCAACCTTAATACTAGTATTTCATTTAGAGCTCTTAGTTGGGAGCAACAGAAATTTACTACTGATAATGTCAGCTAGCAGTTCAAAAAAAAATTTTTTTTTGGTGGAACTGGGGATTGAACTCAGGCCCTTGCGCTTGCCAGGGAAGCGCTTATTCCACTGAGCCATCTCCCCCGCCCCTAGCAGTTCAAATTTAATGGTTACCAGACTTCTCACTGTCAGATGAGGAGGCCAGGGTAAAGAAACAGGTCCAAGACTGCTCGGGTGGCAGGACCATGGCCCACGCCTCAGGCTCTACCCACTGCAGACCCACACTTGGCCAAGCGTAGCTGCTCTGGCCAGCACCCAGGGCGGCTCACCTGGCTCGGGCCCAAAGTCTGTCTGGGCCCTGGGTTCACCTGCTCATGCTGAGTAGAAGGTAAACGCTTGACCACTGACCAGAAACTGAGCAGTGAGGGTGGTATAGGGAGGGAAGTCACTTGGGGCAGGGCCTGAGCATGACTCAGTGGCAAGGCAAACACAGAAAATGACCTATCGTGAAGAAGAGGGAGGGGCTAGAGCAAGAGTGGCTGCTTCATAGTGAATTAAGATATAACAAACACACAGCTCTAAACAATTATTTGGATAGGCCAGGAGTGGTGGCACATGCTATCATCCCAGCACTGGAGAGGCTGAGGCAGGAGGATCATATCAAGTAGAGGCCAGCCTGCACTACACAGTGAGGTCAAAGATGAACTGCATAGCAAGACCCTGTCTAAAAAAGTAAATTTAAAAAACCTAAGAGTAAAAATGACTTTGATAACAATGGGAAAGGCTGAAATTTTCCTGAGAGATCACTGCCCTCACTCCCGACCTTCTCTTAAATCCAGCTGTGCCCCTAAATAAGGGACCATCATCCTCACCTTCTGGCAGAAGACTAATTACCTCATCTGTCCTGTCATCACCCATGTCCCCAGGCAACGCCTAAGCTCTCCCATCCTCAGGGATTTTGTCTGCCTTGCTTGGTGATTCCTCCCCAGAGCCTGGCGCTTAGTAGGTGTTCCGTAAATATTCATTAGCTCAGTGACCAGCTCGGTGACCACTGCATGTGCAACTCCACGGCCTGCCTTTCCCATCTCATGGCATTTTGAGCATGATCTCGATTAACAACCATTGCACAAGCTTGATTTACTTGACCTGCTTTTGATATTTCTTTTTTTTCTTTTTAATGAATGGCTTTTCTTTTTTTGCGGAACCAGGGATTGAACTCAGACCCTTGCACTTGCCAGGGAAGTGCTTATTCCATTCAGCCATCTCCCCAGCGCCTGCTTTTGATATTTCATGGCATGATTTGAATCTTGTTTTTCCCCAACAATGAATACTTCTTTTTCTTTTCTGTATTTTTTAGGGAAGGGTCTACAAGGTGTTTAGGGTCTCACTACTAGATTGTACTCATAGTGATTCTCCTGTTTACAGCCTCCTAAGAACTGGGATTACAGGCATGAGCCACCACGCCCAGTCTCAATTGCTGTCTCAGAGTGCCCTGGGGGATGGGGCTGGCACGGCAGGCCTGGGGATTGAACCCCTGGCCCTTGGGCCTGCTTGCAGGCACTTTAATCCGCTGAGCTATTTGGCTGGCCCTACAATTCATACTTCTGATCTTTCACTTTAATAATGCTACTACAATCAGCATTTTTACCTGTGAGGGCTAGATATGGAGTGTTAAGTTCTTCTAGAGCAGCAGAAAAGCAGAAGTCAAAGAAAGGGGTGGGTCTTTATTAACTCCGAGGACTCAGAGAGGATCTGAGGGAGATGGGGGATCCTCTGACCCAATGCAGGAAAGCTGAGGCTTTATGGATTTTTGTAGGGGTGGAATTTGAGGCTGAGGTTCAGTGCCGCACAAGGAGCTGACTAGGTGCTCCATTGCATGCATGGGAAGGGATCCAGGACTCAGGTAGGGAAGGAGGACGAAGTGGTCATTCAGAAGATAAACTTGTTTTGGGATTCAGCCACATTGAATCAGGCCATGCTCAGTCCCCAGTTCATACTCGAGCTGGAGCCTGTTGTGGAGCTCAGCAGTAGAGGGTGTTCCTGGCACCCAAGTGCCCCGGCTCAGTCGTGGTGCTCAGAGGCAGAGCGTGCAGAGCAAGGTTCTGCATTCAGAGCTCAGTATTTGCAAGGTCTGGGGCTTCCTCTAGGGTTGGTGGCTGGGATGGACTTGCTGAGCTAAAGGCCATGAGCACCCTCAATTTTACCAGATATGGTAACACTGCTCTCCACTGTGGTGACACCAACTCAACACACACACACACACACACACACACACACACACACACACACACACAGAGTCCTGTTTCACAACATCCCTTACAAGCTCGGTATTGCCAGATTTAAATTTTTTTAATTTAGTGGGTGGATACAGAGGAGATTGTTATTTTTTACTTCTTCGCTTAGGGTTTTGCAGTGCTGGGAGTTGGATGCAGGGCCTCATGCATGCTAGGCAAGTTGAGTACCACTGAGTTAACCACCCCCCACCCCCAGCCTGAGATGAGAACTTTAAAACATTAATTAATGTTTATCAGCCTTAATGTGGCCAGAAATGCACAAGACCCTTCAGGTTTATGATCTCAGGTTTTGCAACAATGCCGGGAGGGAGGTAAGTCACCACCTCCCTAGTAAGGGGAGAAACTGAGGCTCATGGCGCAGATCCTGCTAAGTTGCTCAGCAAATATGGGGTAAGGGACTACCACTGGCTCACAACTCCCAGAAATGCAGCTGCTTTTCAAACCTGCCAGTTCTCAGAGCTCATATTTTCAATTTTTCTTTGATTTTTTTTCTTTTTTTTTTTTTTGTGTGTGACTTTTCAAATTTTTTATATTGAGCACATATTTTGGAAGTAACAAAAGAGCCTTTGTGAACCTTATTTTAAAATCATTTTTTAAGCTCCTCTCTTGCGGGCAGTGGTACAAGGGAGGCCTAAGGGTGGAGAGGGCCAGCAGCCAAGGATTCCACGGCCTACCCTGGGACCCACAGCCTCTCTGCCCACCCTGCACATCCTTCTAAGAGCGAGAGGCATTTCTGCCCACACTGTGGTATGGGTGTGGGGGTTGCCAAGACCTTCCCCAGGGTGCAGACTTCCCAGAGTCCCTCACCTTCCCACCTGCAGGGCCCCACTCACCAGGTCTGGTTGGTGCTGGGGTCGTGGTGCAGAAGAGAGCTGAGCACAAAAGGGGTGTCTTCCTCCCGCGTGACCCAGGGGTGGGCCACGTCCACACTGAAGGCCCCCAGGGGCACCAGGTCTACAAGCAAAGGGGAAACATGAGATGAGCAGGGACGGACTCTTGAAGCTGTGCCTGGGACATGACTCTTCCAGGTGACCTTGTGGCCCATTAGTCCCTGTTTCACAGATGAGAAAATGGAACTCCCCAGGGATGTGTTTGCCCAGGGGAAGGGGGCTGGGTACAGGTGTGTCTTGCTCAGGGCCTCTGATCTCCACCCTAGCCAAATTTCCCTTGAGGCAGGTCCCCTCCTCAGAGACTCCTCCAGGTGCTCTCCACACCTGTCCCACTGTCCCCCACTCACACGCTGCACCTGCCACCCTCCACCCACAACAAAGGGAGCACAGCCTGGGAGTTCCTGGAAGAGAGCTACGTGTACACCTCCAAGTGACCAAGAGAAAATTGATGTTCTCAAAAACACCTGCCCCATGATGGTTTGTGGCAGTTTTATTGGAAATTGCCCCAAACTGGAAACAACACAAATACCCATCAGTGGGACAATGGACATCCAGCAGATGCACTACTCAGGAGTAAAGAGGCATGGCCCGATGTACACAGCACTTGAGATGACTCAAACATCAAGCGCAGGGCTGGCCAGATAGCTCAGTGGACTAAAGCACCTGCTTAGGCAGAGCAGGGCGGCCTTGAGTTCGATCCCAGTGTCCTGTGCCGGCCCCACCCCAGGGGCGCACTGAGACAGGGAATGAGACTGGGTGTGGTGGGACGCGCCTGTAATCCCAGCACTTGCGAGGCTGAAAACAGGAGGATCACTGAGTCTGATCTATGTAGTGAGGCCCTGTAGACCCTGTACTAAATACATTTAAAAAATAAAAATAAAAATAAACGTAGTAAAGAAGCCTTACATTAAAAAGTATCTACTGGCCCAGCCTGAGCAACCCAGTGACTTACTGAGATTCTGCCTCACCAAAAAAAAAAAAAAAAAAAATTCTGGGCATGTGTATCACCACAAAGGTCTAATCCCCAGAACTGTAGAGAAAGGGTATCTACTGTACAACTGTAATAAGAAAAATTGGCTACATGGGGGGACAGAGATCAGCTGGGGAATTGCAGGAGGGAACCACATATCTGCAGCGATGAAAATATCCTATATCTGGACAGGAGTTTGGGTTTCCAATGTTCGTGCATTTGTTCATTGAGAATGTACACATATCACAAAAAAAACCCTACAAATTTTGAGCTTTACTTAATATACATGCTGATATGTTTAAGGGTAAAGCCTGTGGGCACCTGCAATTTACTTTATTGTGTTTGTTTATGTTTGCTTGTTTTTGTGGTTTTTGACCCAGGCTCTCACTTTGAAGTTCAGGTTGGCCTTAAACTCACTATGTAAACCACACTGTCCTCAAATTCATGGGGATCCTCCTGTCTCAGTCTCCTATGTGCTGGGATTACAGACATGTACCACTAGAACTATTGTCAGCAAACTAAGAAAAAAATCCACCTGAGCTAACTCAGCTCTCTCCCTTCCCTCCTTCTCCCCTCCCTCTTCTCCCCTCCCCTCCCTTTTTCCCCTCCTCCTCCCCGTTTCTCTTCCCTTCCCCCTCCCCTCCCTTCCCTTCCGCCTCCCCCTCCCCTTTCTCTTCCCCCTTCACCACCCTTCCCCTCCCCTTTCCCTTCCCTTCCTTCTTACCCTTTTCCCCTCTCCTCCCCCTTCCTCTTCCCCTCCCTCTCCCTCTTCTCTCTCATTAGTGCCCGTTTTCAGTATATGAAGTTTCATTCACCTTAGAGAATAGGTGAATGTACATAACACAGCTTGATTCTTTTTAAATCCCCTTTCCCCAAACCTCCTTCCCTCCATCTTTACATCTCCCTTTCCCATTTTCATTCTTATTATTTTTAGTTCATATTTGTGACATAAATGCCTATGTCTGTACACATAAGCAACACATCAATTTACTTTGAAGTATATCAAAATATAAGATGCCTTGATTGGATGGACAGGTAGGTGTGATAAAGCAAGTATTTTTAAAAAGCTCACAATTGTAAAACCTAACTTTCCACTGTACAATTTCTCAGGTGTTTTTTTTTTTTTTCAGAACCGCGGATTGAACTCAGGCCCTTGCACTTGCCAGGCAAGCGCTTATTCTACTGAGCCATCTCCCCGGCTCCCAGGTTTTTTTGTATACATGAAAACTTTAGTAAAAATCATGAGGGAGGCATGTGTGAGGTCCTGGGTTCACTCCCAAATGCCACAAAAAATTGTGGGAGAAAATTGATGGTGATAGATCCCTGTATCAATTCATACTCCCGTAACAGACTAGGGGATTCATTTATTCCCCAAAATGTCATCTGAACTGCTTTAATGAAAGAGTTCCGGGCTGGAGAGATGGCTCAGTGGTCTAAAGCACCTACTTGAAACAAGCTTGGCAAAGCACAGGGACCGCGGTTTGATCCCCAGCACCACATGCCAGCCAGACCCGCCCCCTGGTGGGCTGAGCTGGCCACACACACACACACACACGATAAATAAATGTAATAAATAAAAATAAATAAATATTAAAAAAAAAAAGAAAGAGTTCCCCCGCCCCACTGCCATGTCTAATCTTCCTCTTTTAACAAGAACAATCAATATTTATAAAATAAATTTTTACATGCAAATTGTGATTTTATATTCAAATTATTTGTTTTTATTTGTCTAAATGTGCCATATTGGTCAATTAATATATTTTTCTACTAATAAAAACTGTGTTATTGGGTTGGATAGAATGCAACCCAATAACAACCCAATTTTTCTGTTGAAATCAGTGGAAAAATTTTTTAGCTTAAGAACACATTGAAATCATTCTATAAAGTATAGATTTACAAATATGCTGCATTTAAAAATATAAGGCAGAGGGGCTGGGGAGATGGCTCGGTAGAATAAGCGCTTGCCTGGCAAGTGCAAGGGCCTGAGTTCGATCCCCAGTTCTGAAAAAAATAAAAAAATAAAAATATAAGGCAGAGAAGAAAATATACACATACAAACATGTTGTTCTTCATTCCCTGGAAAGAAATAGCAATTTTAAACCTTCAGGTACCAAATAGCATCACTTCAAAGTATATAAATAAAAAATTTACTGATTTAATAATACAAAGCATTACAACCAAAGTGAGAGACCTTAACACTAACAAATTTATTAAATTAGCTATAGAAATACACACACAAAAGTCTCTAAGGACGTAGAAGAGCTAAACAGTACAGTTAACAAGCTTGACTTAGTTGACATACAGAACAGTGCACCCATCAGTGGCAAACATTTTTTTCCATATAAGTGAACCATTTGCCAAAATTGGCCATATGGCAGATGGCAACACCTAATAAACTCCCAGTGAATACTTGTGGACTAAAATAATTCAGAGAATGCTCTCTGACTACAGTAGAATTAAAATAAATAACAAAAAGAAAACTAGAAAACTCTGAACGTCCTGGCAATTAAAGAATGTAGTTTTAAATAACCCAGGGTCAAAAGTCTCAATGGACATTCTAAAATACACTGAAAGAATTAAGTTGGAGCAAAGCTCAGGGAAAATGAATACATTAAGGAGGAAGAAAAGCAGAAAATCAAACATCTGAGCTTCCATTACAAGGAGCTAAAAGAAAACCAGCTCAAACGTGAAGACAGTCCAGGAAGGAATAAAGATATAAACACACAGCAGTGAAATAGAAAACTTATAGTGGAGGAAAAGAATTCATTTATGTATTTGGTACAGGCTCTCACTGCGCAGCTCAGGCTCGCAGTGATCCTCCCGTTTTCAGCCTCCCCAGCGCCACCACGTCCTGATTTGGTAGCCGGCTCAGAGCGCAAGGCGGGTGGGGGAGGGGAAGGGGGAGGGGCGCCGGGGAACAGACTCAGCGGGCAGGGCATGTGGGAGTGGGGATCGATCCCTAGTCCCCACACTTACCAAAGCAGGCGCTTAGTCCTCTGAGCTATCTCTCCGGCCCAGGTGAAAAAAAATTTATTATAAATAAACTGAAAAATGTCTAGCACTATGACCCAGGAATTTCACTCGTGGACACATACCCAACGGAATTGTGCTCACTAGTCTGAAAGGCATGACCTCACTATGCACAAGGGCCCCGGGCTGAAACGACCCCAATACAGAACAACAGAAACGATAAACTGTGGTGTCTACATAATAGGATACAGCAATGAAAATAATCTACAGGAAGGAGCTGGACTCATGACATGTTGCGTGAAGACACCAGGAATGGTTCAGAACACGCGGCGGAGTGGGGTGGGGGGAGCTTCTTTCTGCCTAAGAGAGACAGAAAAGGAGCCTGGAAAGTGGGTTCGCCCTGAGCCTAAGAGCATATTTCTTTGTCTTTTTTAATCTTTCATTTATGTATTTATTTATGTATTTATTTGGTACAGGGTTTCACTTTGCAGACTCGTAGTGATCCTCCTGTCTCAGCCTCCCCAGTGCAGGGATTACAGGTGTGCGCCACCACACTCCTTTTCAGTGGCTTTGCGCCTGGGGTTCTGGGGCGACACTGTGATACCAGGGATCGAACCTGGGTCCTCCAGCTTGTCAGACAGGCGCGTAGACTGCAGAGCTACCTCCTCAGCCCTGAGAGCATATTTCTGAGGTGTTAATGTTCTGTTTCTTGATATGGGTGCAAACTATGCGGTATAACCCACCCCATGATGGTGAATGGTTTTTTTTTTTTTTTTTTTCTTTTGTATTTTAGGACAGGGTCTACAGGATCTCACTGCATAGACCGGACTCATAGTGATCCTCCCGTTTACAGCCTCCCAAGTGCTGGGATGCACCACCACACCTAGTCTCAGCACAACCCCCCCCACCCCGGGGTGGGGGGCAGCACGGCCGGCCAGAGGATCGAACTCTCAGCCACTGCATCTGCCTAAGAAGGCGCTTTAATCCGCTGAGCTATGTTTAATTATTTTTTTTTAAATTTTTTTTTATTTATTTGAGAGCGAGAGAGACAGAGACAGAGAGAGACAGAGAGAGAGTGAGTGTGTGTGGTGTGTGTGTGTGGCCAGCTCAGCCCACCAGGGGGCAGGGCTGGCTGGCATGTGGTGCTGGGGGATCGAACTGCGGTCCCTGATGCTTTGCTAAGTTTGTTCTAAGTAGGTGCTTTAGACCACTGAGCCATCTCTCCAGCCCTGTTTAATTATTTTTTGAATGTTTGATCTTTTAAAAAATTCATGAAAGGGACTGGGGATATAGGACAATAGCACAGTACCTGCCTGGCAAGCTCAACATTGTAAATTTGGGGCCAGGGAAATAGCTCAGTAGAATAAGTGCTTGTCTGGCAAGCGCAAGGGCCTGAGTTCAATCCCCTGCTCCGAAGGAAAAAAAAAAGACTGTAAGTTTGATTCCCAGTACTAAAAAAAAAAATTATTACAGTAAAAGATGAAATTTCCATTCCTCAAAATAGTCTCCCTCACTTTGAACATGCTTGCCTCATTCTGGTTGTTACTTTCAGAAGCAATTAGGGAGGTCCTAATGAGTGTCTTCAGTTATACAATCATCACTGCCTCAATGTCTTGAATCAGTTTAGAACGCTTAACCTTTCATGGTCATTCTTTTTTTAAATGTATTTAGTACAGGGTCTAGAGGGTCTCACTACACAGATCAGACTCTAGTGATCTCCGTGTTTTTCAGCCTCCCAAGTGCTGGGATTACAGCCACGCACCACCACTCCCAGTCTCAGTTGCCATTTCAGCATGCCGCGGCGGCAGGGCCAGGACAACAGGTCGGGAATCGAACCCCCAACCCCTGCATCTGCCTAAGCAGGCACTTTAATCTGCTGAGCTATCTGGCCAGCCTTTTCATGATCATTTTTACTTTGGGGAAGAGCCAGAAGTTGAGTAGTGCCAGATCTGGTGAATAAAGTGGATGAGGACAATGCAGTGGTATACTACACAGCCCTAAAGAAGGATTGACAGGAGACTTTTACAAGTAAATGGATGCAACTTGAGACTGTACTCATAAGTGAAATAAATCAGACTCACATGTGTAAACATCATACTATCTCCCTGGTGTGAGAAACTGAAACAGTGAGGTCTAAGATATAGAATAGGGGAGGCTGAGGCAGGAGGATCATTGCAAGTTCAAGACCAGCCTGGATTACAAAGTGAGCTCAAAGCCAGCCTGGACTGCACAGCAAAACCTTGTCTTAAAAATAAGTAAAATAAAATGTACAATAGATATTGTGAACTAGGAAGAAACTGTTCAAAAGGAAAAAGGCATGAGGGTGGGGGAAAGGGTAAAAGATGGAGGGGAAGGGAAAAAATGCAAGTCAACTACACTGTCAGTGTCTCTTAGTTCACTGAAAAGGAAGGCTGGTGCTAATACCGATTGGAGAAATATTTATGCCCACATCTTGTGTTCTGGGCAGCTATTTCAAAGATTACAACACACAGTGTATTAACTATTGTTATTCTCTATTATTTTGTTATGAAATTTTGTTTCATCTTTTTTCCATAAAATAAAAATTAAGAAAGTGGATGAGGACACACCATCATGTTTTTATTTGACAGAAAATGTCATAAACTGTCAACCGCTGCAGAAAGTGGCAAGAATGATGTTCGAAATAAGGAATCAGAAAGGGAGGTGGATGGCCAAGAGATAGTTCTGAGGCATAAGCACCTACCTGGCAAGCACAGGGACCCGAGTTCATCCCCCGGTGCCATATGCCGCCCTGTGTCTTGGCCTCAGATCCCCAGGCACGCCGTCTCAGCCCTGGATGTGGGTGCCCGCCTTGTGGCCCTGGAACCGGGCACAGTAGTGCACACCTCTAATCCCAGCACTCAGGAGGCTAAGCCAGGAGGATCTCTAAGAGTTCAAGACCAGACTGGGGGCTACAAAAGAGAGTACAAGACCAGCCCAAACTGCATAGTGAGACCTTGTCTCAAAAAAAAAAAAAAAAAAAA